GGAGGGCGAGGTCGGCGGGGGCGGCGATGGAGGCGGCGACGGGGGAGGGGAGGGAGGCGTAGGTGGTGCCTGGTTGCGGATCGCGTCCGTCCACAGGTCGCGCTCCATCAGGTCCTTGAGCAGGTGCTGGTTCACGACGGCAAACTCGCCGGCGAGCACGCGGCGCGTGTAGATGTTGGAGGTGTAAGGCTCAAAGCACTCGTTGTTGCCGAGGATCTGCGCCGTCGACGCGGTCGGCATCGGCGCGCACAGCAGCGAGTTGCGCAGCCCGTGCTGCGCGATGCGGCTGCGGAGCTCCTCCCAGTTCCAGCGGCTGGTCGGCGTGACACCCCACATGTCGAACTGCAGCGTGCCCTTCGAGGCGGGGCTGCCGGGGTACGACTCATAGTGGCCCTCCTTGGCGGCGAGGTCGCACGAGCAGCAGAGGGCGGCGTAGTAGATCGTCTCGAAGATCTCGCGGTTGATGGCGCGCGCCTCGTCCGAGTCGAAGGGGTGGCGCATCTTGATGAAGACGTCGGCCAGCCCCTGCACGCCGAGCCCGATCGGGCGGTGCTTCATGTTCGAGCGCTCCGCCTCGACCGCCGGGTAGAAGTTCGCGTCGATGACGCGGTTGAGATTGCGCGTCACCTGTGGGAGATTTCGGGAGATTTCGGGAGATTGCGGGAGAGTGAGGGAGAGTGCGGGAGAGTGCGGGAGAGTGAGGGAGAGTGAGGGAGAGTGCGGGAGAGTGCGGGAGATTGCGGGAGAGTGAGGGAGAGTGCGGGAGAGTGCGGGAGATTGCGGGAGATTGCGTGAGAGTGCGGGAGAGTGAGGGAGAGTGCGGGAGTGTGCGGCACGCACGATGTACGTGACGTCGTACAACTTCTGGTGGTCGAAGGTGTCCTTGTCGGCGACGAAGGAGGGCAGCGCGAGCGAGGCGAGGTTGCAGACGGCGACCTCGTCCGGCGAGGTGTACTCGATGATCTCGGTGCACAGGTTCGAGCAGCGGATCGTGCCGAGGTTCTGCTGGTTGGACTTGCGGTTGGCCGAGTCCTTGTAGAGCATGTACGGCACACCCGTCTCGATTTGCGAGTCGAGGATGGCGAACCAGAGCTGCTGCGCGGGCATCGTGTGCCGCGCCTTGCCCTCGGCCTCGTACTGGGTGTACAGCCCCTCGAACTCCTCGCCCCACGTTTCGTACAGCCGCGGCGCCTCGTTGGGGCAGAAGAGCGACCACTCGCCGTTGGCCTCGACCCGCTTCATGAAGAGGTCCGAAACCCACAGCGCGTAGAAGAGGTCGCGCGCGCGCTGCTCCTCCTTGCCGTGGTTCTTCTTGAGGTCGAGGAAGGAGAGGATGTCCGCGTGCCACGGCTCCAGGTAGCACGCGAATGCGCCCTTGCGCTTGCCGCCGCCCTGGTCGACGTAGCGCGCCGTGTTGTCAAACACGCGCAGCATCGGCACCAGCCCGTTGGAGGAGCCTCCCGAGCCCTTGATGTAGGAGCCCTGCGCGCGGATGTCGTGCACGGAGAGCCCGATCCCGCCCGCCGACTTGGAGATCTGCGCGCACAGCTTGAGCGTCTCGAAGATGCCCTCGATCGAGTCGTCCTTCATCGCGAGCAGGAAGCAGGAGGACATCTGCGGGCGCGGCGTGAGGCGGGAGTCGCGAGGGCAGCGGGGAGGGAGGAGGCAGCAGGGAAGAGGGAGGCAGCAGGGAAGAGGGAGGCAGCAGGGAGGAGGGGAACGCCGGAGGCAGCAGCGAGCAGGGGGGGAGGCGAGAGGCGGTGCGTGAGGGAGGAGGTGAGGGTGGTGGGCCGCCTGCGGGCATGGCGTCCCCGCGTTGAACATGGTCGGCGTCGCGTGCGTGAACCACTTCTGCGACATGAGCTCGTAGGTCTCGACCGCCGCGTCGAGGTCGGTCTTGTGGATCCCGATGGCCACCCGCATCAGCATGTGCTGCGGCCGCTCCACCACCTTGCCCTTCATGCGCAGGAGGTAGGCCTTCTCGAGCGTCTTGAAGCCGAAA